GAAAAGATAATCTGAAATTCTGAGAACAACTGGAATTGATGAACAAAACTTGCTAATTATCTCAGAACGATATTAACACCAAACGGCAACAATTGAAATATTGAACACAACATCCGAAGATATACGAATCCAACGAGGAGTGCGAAAAAGTGGCGTCTTATCACCGCTATTATTTAATCTATATTTAGAGTAGCAGTAGACGAGGTCCAAGAGGTAATTCAGATTAACGACACCAGCATAGACAACATAAGGTACAAAACGTCCCAAAGACTAAAATTCTAGTATTTGCAAAGATACCAACAAACGTACGTTTGTATTCCAAGGTCAAATAATACAACAGGTAACTTCTATAAAATATTTAGGAGCAAATATCAACAGCCAGTGTAATCCAAAAAAGTAAATTATATTAAGAATCGAACAAGCGAGGAAAACACTCATGAACGTGAAAACATGTTTTACAAGATCAGGCGTTAGTCTAGAGCTCAGACTTCGAATAATCAGAATGGACTCTGAAACAGAAAACAGAATAAGAAAAGAATAAGAATAGAAAAGTTTTACAATGGACTCTGAAAGAGAAAAAAGAATAGATGCCTGTGAAATGTATATACAGACGGATGCTGAGAATTCCATGGGTACAAAAAGTTATCAAGGGTGAGGGACTTCGGCACATGTGTAAACAAAAAGAATTACTTCAAAGAGAGGAAAGCTCATGTTTTGAGAGGTGAAAGATATGAATTACTCTAAATTATATTGGAGGGTAAAGAATCAGTTGGAAAACGCCAGAACTCGTGGCTAAAACACTTGAAGAGATGGTTTGACCGCTCATCCGCAGAAATCTTTCGTGAAACATAATTCAAAGCTACATTCGCCATTTGGATTGCCAACATTCGAAAGGGGGCAGCGCAATAAAAAGAAGAATTTCTGAATCGTCTTATGGGCTATATTTTTTGACTCCCTGTCTATTTTGTTTCCCAGAGTTGTGACGAAATGCTCTCAGGCACAGCAGGGCGGTCATGTCGTGCCAAGTAAATAAGCAGAGTTTTCCAACTCCCAGAGGAATCACGAAGGCAACACTTTTCTTCCCTAGCCACGATGCTGTTACTACTCGCAATTGAGTAGCACAGGGGTTGCAAACAATTCTCACTATAGCATACTAGGGCTGTCCGATAAGTACTTATCCTAGTCTGCTTTTAGCCCGATACACTTGACCCAACGATGCTGCAACTTCTTTAACCAGTCTGAAAAATACGTTTTCTCGAGGTCTGTAAAGTAGGCTTCCGTGGCGGTGATGATATCCTCATTCGACTTAAATGACTTCCCGGCGAGTGCCTTTTTCAAGTTTGGAAACAAAAAAAGGCGCACGTGGTCAAATCTAGAGAATACGGTGGATGGAGTAACAGTTCGAAGCCCAATTCGACCAATTTTACCATGGCGACGGAGAACGTATGAGCCAGTGCGTTGTCATGGTGGAAAAGCACTGTGACCGTTTTGCCCTTCTCCAGATAGTCGATGTGGATCACCCCTTGTGAATCCCCGAAAATGGTGGTTATCACCTTTCGGGTTGATAGGACAGTCTTCACCTTGGTCTATGGAGTTCAACAGTTGATCCATGTTTCGTCGACGGTTACGAAACTACGTAGAAACTACTTAGGATCATGCTTAAATAGCGTCAAACACTGCTCTGAAGTGGTCTTACGGTTGCGCTTGTTGTCCAGAGTGGGCAAACGTGGCACCCATCGCTCGGACAGTTTTCTTATTCCCAAAATTTGATGCAGGATATGACATACGCTGTCTTTTGAGATTACTACATATCTCAGCTATCTCGCGCACCTTTAGTAGGCGGTATGCCAATCAGTACGAGATCGTTGATTTTTGTCACGTTATCCTTCGTGGTAGCCGTTTTAGGGATATCGTTAAACCAATTTTTGACGTTTGCCATCGAAGAAGATGGCATCCAAGCGTTCTTTGATTTCGTTGCGCAATTTATCTTCCAAAAACAAGAATCGACTCACTGACCTATATTGCTCTTTTTCCATTTTTCTAAAATTCGCGGACACTCCCACTTTCACACGCAGTCAAAACAGAACTACTACGAGTCCAAAAATGATTCGGCTGAAAATTTGACATTAGTCATGTACTAAAATGTACTACACGATAGAAAATTTCTCTTGAGTTAGTGGCGCCATCGGGCAATAAGTACTTGGACCGCCTACGTAAATCCTATTATAATGTAGGTGTGTCGTGTGTATGCGTATTTTGTTTTGTGCGTGTGTTTATGTCGTGTTCAACCAATAAATCCCTTAGTTATTGACATAACTGCAGTGCTGTGTCGTATTCTCTGTGAATTGTTATTCTTGGTTATTTCTGAAAAATATAATTATCACTTTTCTTTCTCTTTATACTGCATAAATTATTAAAGCCGATTTTTAAAAATTATCAAATAATAACTGATTCTTTTGCTCGAATAAAGACAGTATTAACCTTCTCTTTATGTTTTCCTTATAAGGCCAGTCGTTGTGCAGATCATAACCTTCGTAGTAATATGTACATATAAAAAATGTAAGGTTACCGTTCCAAAAATGGCGACTTATTTACTAAATATTTGTAATAAATTTGGATAAAAATCGAAGATAAAAACATTTTTTATATGTTGCAAGCATATTAAATAATTTTATTTAAATACATGGGTACTTGTTTTAGGAAATTAATTTACTATAATAATAATAAATGGAAAGCCATAGTCATGAAGAGAACAGCAAAAAAAATGTTACAATGTAAAATAAACATGCAAACAATTTGATGCAATACATATTAATTGAAAAACGAATGCGTCCAATAGACATTTTTATACACGAAAATGAACACTAGGATTGCACATGATCAACATTCTCAATATTACTTTCAGGTTGTCGAAGTATTGGGTAAATCAATATCGTTGATCGAAAGGACTATATTAGAAGACAACAATGTTCATACAAGTGATGTACAGAGTTGAAAAACGCCGAAACGTGTGTCAGACAACAAGTTAAACAACACATTACTAGAGTTCATAAAACCAGAATGTAACATTAGTAGATTGTACTTGTTTGAGACTTGGTTTGAGATTGTACGTGGTAAAAAAATTAAGGTCTAAAAATTCAGACATTGCCGATTTGAATGGATCAAATTGTATTTACTATCAGCTTTAACTTAATTAACTAGTGGACCGTCGGATTTGAGCCACGACTATGTCTCTTATGCCTTTGAGAGAAGGACTAACAGCTGAACTCAAGGAGAGGAAAATATGTGAAAGCTGTGGGGTTTACTAGGGAAATCTGCGTGAAAAATTAATTTTGTTTTATAAAGAAAACCGCATGTGCTGCGATGATTCTTTCTCTTGCCATTTTACGAATCGTATTGGTTCTATTTTAGGACGTTTGGCATAAGGGACAATGATGTCCTAAGGGTGTTAATGATGACCTAAACATGCAATACTAATCAGTTTCCGTGATTTCTCTCTCATGCCACTTGAAACTGTGGTTTTCACGATAAGGAAGCTGAAAAAACCCCGACTCAACTCTTAAATTCTCTGTTGTTTTTGCTTATCTCATATGACGTTTTCAGTAAATAAAAAGGCATAGTGGATAAAGTGATTAAACTTCGTATTGAAATCCGACAGTCCATAAAAAGAAGAGTATATTTGTCGTTCCATAGGATAAAATACATAATTTATTTTTACTGAATATGTGTACTGGCAGTCATTTACACACTTACTAATAAAACTCTCGTATTCTAAGGTTATTCCGTATTTATACTTAGAATAGTTATCCTAAGTATAAGGTAAATATAATAGTAAAATAATTTGTTACAAATAAACTCGGTATAAGTAAGTTATAAGTATTCCCACTTTATTCCGAAATAATAGTTTGGCAATGTCGCAATCTTTTGTACAAATACATAGAACACGATATATTGAGTAAAATATGTCAATCTTTATTTTTCTTTGAAACTGACAATGACAACTGACTGACACCATATATAACTTTATTTGATATCATATGTTATATGATGAGTTTTAGTATTTTAAAATTGCAAAAAACCTTACACCATCTTTAGAAAACCGATATTTTATTCTAAATTCTGTATCAGTGTATTTTGAAAAGGGATTTATTCTTTCTTTAAAAGTTTTTTTTTCGTGTATTTTCCATCATGTTAATTAAATTATCAATTTCCTCGACAGCCACAATACCTCTTAAACACATTTTTTTATTATATAACTACTCACAAAACAATACAAAAAATAATATATTCTTGCCACTGATGACTTTGACATTCATGAAATAGGTTATACCGTTATACCAGACTTAAACTAGGGTGTTGGTCGGTATAATCCTGGAATGAATTCTTATATCAAGTATAACCTATATCTAAGTTATTCCGTGTTTATTGGTAGTGATTTTGCTTATACCTGATTTATTCTGAGTATAAGTTGTATACTTGGTTTATTAGTTATGGTGTTAGACATTAGACATTCTGTAAGAGACGTTGTTTAAGAGTGTGGTCCACATAATTAAATAACTTTTCTCTTATGAAATTGAGCATCAATTAACTTCATGTTCTGTGGATTTATACTTAAGAAGCAAATCAAAACACACAACATTTTAACTTTAATTTTTTAGCCATTCTATTTAAGTTTTTACAGACCAATAGATAAAAAAAAGAATATACAAAAAATACAAATTACTTTTATTTCAGTGATGGGCTCGACCGTTACTTGATGGGAATTCATTTTATGTAATAATAAAACACTGAAAACTTTGTTTTCAAAACTTCCACAAAATTTATTATATAATAAATTTATAATATTTAAATTTTGTGGAAGTTTTGAAAACAAAGTTTTAAGTGTTTTATTGTTATACTTTTATTTCCTTTAAATTTTTCGCTATAAGTATTCTGAGAAAGTTTAAACTCGTTCTGCTATTTTATATACTTAAATATTTACGTTACATATTTTGTTACAGCTTTATTTTACGCCGTTCAGTGAAAAACTGTGAGAAATATGAATCCTCCGCCTCTTCCTATGTTGGTACCCTACCAACAGTACTTCAATGCTTATCCAGTAATTAATTATCAACAACCCCCAAGCGCAGCTAACGGCTATGGCTGGCATGGAAATGGATATGGATGGCAGTTGGATCCGAGTTCATGGCAGTGTGCACCACCAAATGCTGAAGAAACTGGTGCTCCTGTTGTGGAGGAGCCCCCTGTTATGGCTCAGAAAGTTACCAAACAGAATGCATGGGTAAGTGAAAATTGCATGAAATTTATCATCTATCTAACTCAGCACATAAGGCTATCTATATACTGAAGGCTTAATTTCGGTAAACATTTAATTTTGTTTTTAAATGCTACATAGTTAAAAGCACGACGAGAGCTGTTAAGTAAATTTTAAAACGAACAAGTAAACACAAAATAACTATTTGCTCGTTATAGAACGTTCTTAAATTGATTTATGGTTTAAAGTACACTTCATGAATTTAATACGATTTTGCATTAGGTCGAGCCAATTTCTGAAGCACTTTTCCTGTTGAGAACAAGGTAATAACAAAAACATTTGTTCTACTAAAACTAAAAACCATTTTAAAAGTGCAAGGACAAATATCTAAATTCAGTCGTACAGACCAGTTTGTAAAACTTGTTTCCTTAATATTAGTGTTTGTGTAATAGGAATAGTTGCAAAAAAAATTGAGTCCTTATCAAAATTTTAAAAAAATAATTCGGTCATTAATTACCGCACCAGCAATAGATTTTATTAGACAAGCCGGAAAGCTCGGGTTCATTCGGTCAAATTTTCCCATGATATTTTTTTGGATAATCACTTTCATGAGAAACCCCAAATTAATGTTCAAGAAGTGGCCACAAGCGAAAAGTTCAATTTTTTTTTAACAAATTGCAACAATCAATTTTTTCGTCCCGGAAATTTTTTGGATCATTTTAAACAAAATAGGTCCCTTGTAGTTTTTCTGTAAACTTGATCGTTTTCGAGTTATAAATAATTTAAATGTGAGAAAAACGAAAAAATTACGATTTTGAAGGTTAAAAAGCACAAGTAAAAAACATTATTTTTAAATTCTATTTATTCTATATTTTTAAATATTATATTTAAAATAAATTAAATTAAACAACAATTGTTGTATTATTTTCCGATAAGTATTTTGGGCCTATTTTATTTTAAAACATTTTTAAAACAGGTTTTTTTAACGTTAATGAATCGCTTATGACAGGACGGGCGCTCGGGCTGCGGCGTATATAAGATAGAGAAATAAGATCTAGGGCACAAGTTTTTGGGGGTTTAAATTCTCATTGTACCAATGAGTGCCCGCCCTGCCATATGCGCTTGATTATCAATTAAAAGCAATGGTTTAAATTATCAGTTTTAAATTCTTTATAACTCGAAAACGATCAAGTTTATAGAAAAACTACAAGAGAATGTAGAATACTGTTCAGAAGGATCCAAAAAGAAATTGTCCGGGACCGGAAAAAATATTTGTTACATTTTGTTTAAAAAAAAAAAATTAAATTATATACATTTAATGTAGGGTCACTTCATTTACAAATAATTTTTTTTGTTTTATTTATCTTATGGCATACAACAAGAGCACATAATTAAAAATCAATATAAAACGTTACATGAAACATTAGAAACGAATATCTTATGTATATTTATTAATATAATGTAAAACATTTTCGGCTGCATTCAGGAACTCATCAAAACCTCCAGGGAATCGCCTTCGGGGGCATTCTTCAACAATATGATGGACGGTCTGTCGTTGCGCACCACAGTCACTCTCAGGCGTAAGTGCTTTTCCCCATCTATATAAACTGTCTACATATCTACCACTACTTGTTCTTATTCTGTTTAGCTTTGTCCATATATTGCGGGTCAGTTGAAAGCCTGGTGGTTTCTGACCCATACAGACCATTTGGTGTGCTTCCTGTGGTGAGTCGCTCTCCGTTGTCATTGTCTTCTCCAGGTATTGGTGAGGTTGAAATGTTCCTGATGTAAAGAGCTGGCTATTAACAGTGGAGGTTATCTGGAGCGCAATGTGTTTATTTCGATATCAAGCTTATCAATCGTGAATGCGTAGTTGATAGTTAGGCTCGCTTTTTTGATATTAATGACTTCGTCGCAGTTTAGGCGATGCAATGTGACTCAGAATGGAAAGCCAATAGTTCTGTGTAGACCTAATTCTACCTTAGATCATTCGCATTGTGGGGTTTAATTGGGTGTCAATAATCTTCGTGTGGTTGCTATTAAGCCATACCGGGGAAGCATATTAATTCGGAACTGGTTTTATAGTCAGGGAAAATCTTGTGGGGTCAGTTTTAACTTTCAAACCCGTTAATGAAAGACTTTGTTATATCAGAATCAAAGGACAACTACATAACTATTCCCTAGTTGCTGCCCATGCACCGACAGAGGAAAAGGAAGAGCATGTAAAAGATAACTTCTACGAGAAACTAGAGGAACTGATAAATAATTTACCTAAACAGGACATGCATATTATCTTAGGAGATTTCAATGCAAAGATTGGGAAGGAAGCAGCGTACAAACCAACAATAGGTAACCATAGTCTTCACGATGTTAGCAACGATAATGGAACAAGGCTAATAGACTTTGCAGCATCCCACAATCTACTAATAAAATCGACAATGTTTGAACACAAGAATATACACAAACAAACATGGGTTTCCAACGACGGCGTCACAAGAAATCAGATTGATCATGTTCTAGTAGATGCCAGGAGGGGTAGTAACTGTCTAGACGTAAGAAGCCTAAGAGGAGCTGATGGAGACACGGATCATTGTAAAAGCGAAGATAAGGACAAGAATAGCGTCCAAAAAAACACACAAGAATACACCAACACAATTATGGAATACCGAAGTTCTACGTAATAAGGAGACAGAACAGAAATTTCAAAAGGCTATAAAAATCGCTCTAGCACAGACAGAAAACTATAACAACATAGACTCAGCTTGGAAAAATATCAAAGTAGCTCTGACAAGCGTATCAGATGAAATACTAGGACACAAAAAGAAAACAACAAAAAAATGGTTCGATGATGATTGCCTGAACTCCATATTAGCAAGAAATATGGCTAGAAGGAACATGCTACAAAGCCCCTCACACAACAACAATGAAATGTATAGACAAAGAAGAACAGAGACAAGAAAACTAATGAAAAGGAAGAAGATAGAGTATCAGGAACAAATAATCAGAGAAATAGAAGAAAAAAAGAAAGAACAAACAAGCGAGGCAGTTCTTTAAAGGAGTTTCAGATATCAAGACCGGGTACCAAGCAAGAACAGGAAACATTCTTCAAAACGACAGTGGACAGCTTATCACTGATGACAAGGAAATCTTAAAAACCTGGAAGGAATACTTCTATCAACTATTGAATGACCAATCTAGCAGAAGTACATTAAACATAGAGGTACATACAGCTGAAATAGAAGACCAATACCCGACATACGAAGAAGTAATCCAGGCAATTAAAAAACTCAAAAATAATAAGACACCAGGTAGCGATGGTATACCCGCAGAGTGCTTAAAACATGGAGGAGAAGCATTGTACAGTTCGATATACAAGCTAATTCAAGACATTTGGCAAGAAGAAACAATGCCAGATGAATGGAAAGAAGGGGTTATTGTACCAATACACAAAAAAGGAAACAAAAAGCAATGTATTAACTACAGGGGAATAACACTCCTAAACACCACCTACAAAATCCTTGCAAACATCCTGCTAGAAAGAACCGAAACATACACAGAAGAAATTGTTGGAGATTATCAATGCGGATTTAGACCGGGCCGCTCTACAATTGACCAGATATTCACAATAAAACAGATAATGGAAAAATGCTGGGAGTTTGATCGTGAGCTTCATCAGATGTTCATAGATTTTAAACAAGCATTTGATAGAGTATGTAGGGACAGACTGTGGACAGCGATGCAGGAACTTGGCTTTCCAAAAAAACTAGTCCGGTTGATACGGATGTGTATGGAACGGTTACGATGTAAGGTGAGAGTTGGACAACAATACTCGGAGACATTTGAAATAAACAATGGACTAAAACAGGGAGATGCACTTTCACCACAACTCTTCAACTTAGCTCTGGAGCACATAATCAGAAGTGCAAGAATCGAAAAACCGAATACAGTATTTCATCGAGAAGGACCAAACTTACTACTGGCATTTGCAGACGATATAGATCTAATAGGAAACACGCGATTAAGGATGAAGGAGACTTTCGTAAGGTTTGAGAAGGAAGCAGAGAAGATGGGGCTCCAAATCAACGAAAACAAGACGAAATATATGTATATGAGCCGCAATAACCAAAGCAGAGACAGAATCGGTCAGAACATTACCATCGATGACTTTAACTTTGAGCGCGTTAGGGAATTCAAGTATCTTGGAACAACAATAACTGAAGACAATAACGGATCACAAGAAATAAACAACAGGATTCAGGCCGGCAACAGATGTATTTTTGCCCTCCAAAACCTTATAAAATCAAAACAACTAACACGACGTACGAAGATACAGGTCTATAAAACAATCATACGACCCGTTGTGATGTATGGAAGCGAAACGTGGACGATGACAAAGGCAAATGAAGAGAGACTACGTGTTTGGGAAAGAAAAATCCTAAGGAAGATCTTTGGTCCAGTGCTTGATGAAACATCAGGACAATATAGGATAAGAACTAATAAAGAGCTTGAAGAACTTTACCCAGACGCCAACATCATAAAAGAAATAAAGTCCAGAAGACTCCAATGGGCAGGACACCTCAGAAGACATTCTGACGAACGAACAGTAAGACTGGTGTGGCAGGAAGTCCCAACTGGAAGGAGACCACGCGGACGCCCTCGTCTCCGGTGGCGAGATAATATAGCAGTAGACCTAAGCACTATGGGCGTGGAGAATTGGATGGAGGTTGCTCAAGACAGAAAACAGTGGAGGCATGTTGTCGAGTCGGCTAAAACCCACGAAGGGTTGTAACGCCACGGAGTAAGTAAGTAAGTAAGGGGAAGCATATTCAGTCACCGAGTATACAAGTCCAAGAGCGGATGATCTGAGTACGGAGGCTGAGAACCCCCATGTAGTGCCACATAGCTTTTGGACGATATTATTTCTCGTTTTTAGTTTTGTTGCTGTTCTTTGTAGGTGTTCTTTAAAACTTAATATTCTATCCAGAGTCACTCCAAGATATTTTGGTGTTGAGTTATGAGTGAGCAGT